TTTTTACAGTCGCCGAGATTTGAACTTGGAACGTGGTGGAGATGTGACCCTGAAGTAAGTGTCTTTTTTACACCCTACTTGTAGAAAATATTATTTGTATACCTTTCTGACTTGCTTGATAATGAATTGCAGATGTCCTGTGATGCTAGTAGTTGGTGATCAGGCCCCTCATGAGGATGCAGTGGTAAGTCTGAGTGGATTTAGACTGTGCATGAGAATTGCTTTTGTATGATTGTGTTTATAGTCTGACCTTTCATGTGCTTGTAGGTGGAGTGCAACTCAAAATTGGATCCAACACAGACCTCATTCTTAAAGGTAAGCCGAGTCAGTATGGTTATCTAATGCAGGCAAATTAAGGGTACCGAAAGGCATTATGATTTGGATGCCAAGTCGACAATTGTAGGTACAGTATATCTAGAAACATTGATATTACTAGCCAGCAAATTATCTGCTGGTAGATGTAATTTCACCAGGATCGAATTGTGGCCTCCATCAAAATGTAATAGTGCTTTTTAGGTTCCATTTGCCATGGTAAATGAGCAGCCACATCTTTTTTTTTTAAACTATAGTTAAAAAAAAAATTTTATAGCCCAATTCCAGTCTAAACATTTATTTTGTTTTATAACAAGAGGGAAAACATTCCACCTTCTCTTGGGTTTTTATTGCCTTTTTTGACACTGTTGGGGAGATATCTTCATAATTCACAATCAGGAAAGAAAGTGATGGAAAATCTCTCCGATGAGGTTGCAAAATGTCCCCAGCACACTGTAAATAAATTTACAAAGATTATCTATAGTCACAATATCATCGCACACCTTTCAAGGCCATAAAGGACCCCTTCATCAAGGCAACAGTGATTGCTGCCTTGATGAAGGAATATTCTGCAGCCCCAAAACATTGCTTTAGGTTAGTGTCACCATAAATAATTCTAGTTTATTCACGTCGGTGTGCTGATGTCCGCACCATCTATTCCAATGTCATTGCAACACCAAATGTGCCAAGGTTGAGGGGCTGTAAGGAGTTTACTGGATCATACGATTTTCCTTGATCTTCCCAACAGGGACACTGGCAAAATAAAAATACATTTTAGTGGTTTGAGGAAGGGTCAGAACTTGCTTTTGTTGCTGTCTGTCCCAATGACAAATACTTCCCCTATTTCTTGTATAGGTAACAGAGACAGGAAGTGAGAAAAAAAAACAGAAAAGGGCAGTGTAGCAAGCAAATGTATGAATGTGATTCGACTTCTGTAAAAATACATAATCTATGTGTGTTAGTGAAGTCTCTATAGTATGTAATTAGATATCTACATGAGGGAGCCATATTTTCCCACGGCATATGCATACTGTGCATGCTGTTCCTCTGTCTCAGTTGAAGTTTACCAGTCAACACAAACTGGCTGAAATCAGTACAGTGAGTAGGTGGCTTATCTTATAGCTTGCCTTATTTTAGTAACTGTTGAAGTGGACCTTCAGAAAAACTTCACTTCCCATCCTGATAACCACACAGGAAGTGAGGGGAAATCTTGACAATAGGGATACAGACTTCTGTTAATCCTGACATGTTCTTGCCTTTTGACAACTCTATTCAAAATGCTTTTTGGCATTGTCAGTGGTGCCTTCAAATTTTGGTGAAATGGGGTACTCTTATGTGAAGGGGGAAACACCACGTTGTCTTTTTTTTGTGCCTGGAATTCCCCCCTTAAAACCTATACCAGACCCCATTCTAGGATAAGGATCTAATATTAATTCTGGGGGGAGCAAACATCTTCTTTTGCTTTTTAAAATTTTTAGACTTCAAGATTTTGCATACTTTTAAAAGTGCCGTGATTGGAAAAAAAGGTTAACAAACGCTGGCATAGTGAATGGGCTCTAAGGAAAAGTTGTCTTGTGTAGTTGTCGGAAATACAGCGAGCCACTAGAGGGAGTATCCACAAACTGTGTATTAAATGCCATCATAATGATGAGAAATGCCAAGAGATTACAATCGTGGAAGTCAGAAAAAAATTACATTTAGGTAAACGTTACAATAATAACTCAATGATTACAGTGTGTACCCACTAAAATTATTAGAAGCATTGTGAGCAAATGTAAAAATTCTTTATATCAATAAAAATACTTGTCTGTGTCTACAATGCATAACCACATACAAGTGCATTCTGGAGGACTAGCAGGTTGTAGTTCAGCAAGAGTAAAAAGGTACAAAATAGATGAGCTGGTGGTGGATGATGATTGTGCTTATAATATTATTTTGTTTTGTAGATGGCGGATTCTGGTGGACAGCCACAGATAACACAGGTAATAAAGTAAAGCAAATTATGCTTTTATAAAACGCTACCCACAGTTAACTACTTCTATGATCAAATAATGTAATTTACAACATCAACAACACACATTGCTGTCATAGAAAACAATATGCTACCTTTTTATGTTGATTTACAGTATATTAGCTGCATAGAAACAAATTGATTTTAATCCAGAGGCTGTTTCAAAGGTCATCCGGTTAATTCAAGAAGAAAGGCCAGTTGTTATCTACAGCAACTAGTCAGATTCTCCAATTTATTATGCCATATGGCACTGAAAATCTGCCTTATGTCATTTTGAGTGTGATGTAGAATGAGGTTCTCAACCAATCCGCAGTTATTTCTATAGTCCGGGTTTGAAAATAAACAAGGAATTCCATAAAAGAGAAAATAGTGCAATGAAAGAATTTCAACTGATGTCAGACAATTGCATAAGACAGTAATGTAAAAAAGATGACAGCTGCTCAGAATTACTTACCTAAATTTTTTTCTACACAATACGGTAGAATCATCGATTCAGATGAGGATTTAACAGGGGTAGGCAACCCAGACAGTCCAGCTGTTTTTCAACTACAGGATCCATGAGGCATTGCAAGACTCTGACAACCACAGGCATGACTCCCAGATGCAGAATCATGATAGGATTTGTAGTTTAGTCACAGCTAGAGTGCCGAGGTTGCCTACCACTGGGATATAGGGAAAGAAAAGGGGAAAAGGAAGGCAGGTAGTGTCATGGCGGGAGGAGGAGTTAAGAGAGACAATGGAGGAAGTGAAGTAAGGGACAAGGTAGAACAGAATAAAAGGAAGGAGAGAAAAAAAGGGACTAGAGCAGGTTGTCTGGGCTAACAGATTTCTTATATGATAGATCTATGGAAGTCTGTGGGCAAGTAGTGAGTCACCCTGGGTGTCCACTAAGGAAGTCGATCATCAAGCGTAGCTTTAAGTATTTAATAGGCCTGCACAGGTTGATTCAACATTGATTCAGTTCCTTGAAAGGGATCGTTTTTTTCACAGCCTTGGAATTGTTGGTTTAGCTACTGTGAACACATGAGTTTTAAGCTGGCCATACACTGCTGGAATTTCTTCCGAGTCCTGATTAATCGATTTTTCTTGAAGGAGCTGGGTGGAAAATTGTTGGCCAAACGAGGAGTGAATCCAATCAGCACAGGTCACGCCTTGGCTATAAAATAACCATCAGAGAAGATTCCTTCATCCATGCTGTGTAGCATGAATGGGGGGAATTGCTTGATTTCTCTCTTTCAGCCTGCGGGACTGAACAAGAGAAATCTTAAGATGTTTGGCCAGCTTAATAAGAATAAACTGTCTTGGTACAGCCTGTGGGTTTTCTGCTAAGCAGCGCTTCCATGGGATCTTTCTATATAGATCTACCCAATAGTGTACAGAATAATTGGTATGTTCTCATCCAGAGGTCCTTGTTCTTGGGATAATACCACCAGATTTATATGAAGATGTTTCAGAGTAAAGCAATGGGGGGAATAATCTGGCAATGATTTAGTTATGCATGCCTATTAGCACAGTTTTCATAGATCAGTCCTATTCTTTAGATGTTATTAGAATATCAGGAAAATCAGTAACACCTTTCATTTCCTATAGTAAACAAACAATAATAGAATTTGTGAAAGGTTTCATATGATGGTTCTGTGCTTTTCCAAACCTAGCTAATGCTGTAGTTATTATTTTTTAGTATTTGCCCTATAGCACACTGCATTACACACCTTTTTAACTGTGTTCAGAAAATTTGCTGAGCGTTATTTAGCTAGACTAGGGGTATCAAACTCAATTTCATTGCGGGCCGCATCAGCATTATGATTGCCCTCAAGGGGCCGTTTGTATCTGTAAATCTGTCTACTCTTTATCATATTAAATTGCCTCTGCATGCAATTACTACTGGTTTTACTAATAACTTATTAACTAGCTCTGGAAGTAGAAGTCTAGGAAAAATAATGGCAAATAGTGTAATAGTGCTTACACTCAGGTGCCTAGGCAGGTTCTATGGAAGGCTGTGCAAGTTCTATGGTAGACTGTGCAGGCTCTCAGGTGGCTGTGCAGGTTCTATGGTGGGCTGTGTACGCTCTAAGGTGGCTGTGCAGGTTCAATGCTGGGCTGTGCGGACTCTCAGGTCGGCTGTGCGGGGTCTATTGTGGGTTGTGCAGGTTCTATGATGGGCTGTGTGGGGTATTAGGAGGGCTGTGCAGGTGGCATGAATCCACAGAAAGGAGACTTTCACTTGGGACCTTGGCAGCCTTCCTGTGATGCCCAGCACCTGTTTACAGTGCCAGCTTTGATTTAAAAAATGTAAAGCTACAGGAGAGGTGTGATGGCCACATGAAATGGCTTGGTGGGCCGGATTCAGCCCAAGGGCCTTGTGTTTGACACATGAGAGCTAGACCTTTTCTAGTATGTTGGGAGAGTGATTTATTCTTCCTTTTTTTTTTTGTCAACTTCTGTTAATTGTTTATCATCCTTTTCTCATTCTATTGAATACATATGACAATATTGCATATTGGAAAAGAAATTATTAAAGGGTAACTGCTCTTTTTAGCTCATAAAGAGAGACCTATAGACCCAGACTCTGCTGTAAATTTATAAATGGAGAGGGTTATCTTGCTGCACAGAAGCTCTGTTCCCTCTGCCCAGTATAAAAGGCTAAGCACATTACTTATTTGCTCTGTTGCTGAAATACAGATACATGGCGTGCCATGGTCAAACTGAAGCAGGGTATTAGTGACCTGGTTACATAGTTAGTCAGGTTAAAAAGAGACACAAGTCCATAGAGTTCAACCGGGTCCTTCGAGTGGCCATTGTTTTCTATAACCCAGTCTGCTATATACCCTGCCTGCCCTATCTTTACCTAGGTACCCTCACTTGTAACCACAAACAAGCACCCTAAACACTGTGCTGGCCCTTTATAACCGGGGAGTAAACATAAGCCACACAGATGGGGATTTATAGCCTAAAAGTAGTTTTCCTGTATTAACTGAACCGTGTTATTTTGGTCATTGTACTTAAGAATGCTTTACTGTCTAGTTTGGTGATTGTCTTGGGCTTCTAAGTCCTCAAAGACTTTAACATATGCTGAAAAAAAAACGAATCTTCTGTCTTTGTGTACACAATAAAAAAATTTTAGAAAATAATTTTCATTATTCTCTCCATTCCATTTTAGCCTGGGAAACTCGCTGAAGCATTCAAATACTTTGTACAGGGAATGGGATACAGTGAGTATTGTAGCTATTTTTATTTGTTAAAAAAAACACACAGTTCAAGGAGCAAAGTGCAGTATCCATAGGAACCAATGAAAAGCCATTTTTAGTTTTCTGATTGATTGCTGTGGGTTACTGCACTTTGCATTTTACTCTTTGAATGATAAATGTACCATGCATTCATTATCACTCTTTATTTGTATGTGCTTTATTTTATGAAGTGTATCGGACTGACTATACAATTTCTGTTCTTGCCACTGTGTTCATTTTGAACAGAGTTTGTCAACGCAGGGAATGATGCTTAAAGCGATATTAAAGTCAAAAGCATTTTACGCTATTTCAAATGCTGATTAATTCACTTAGAATGGATACTGCTTCTTGAAGCTTAAAAGGTTTAGTTTCCTGCTGAATCAGATGGTCCCCTGAGCACTGGTCCAGCCTTTCTTTTTTACAGTGACTCCTTTCTCAAGCAGAGTCCCATTGAGTGTGCTAGTAAGCTGCTTGTGTCTCCGCAAACACACAGACACAGCAAATCAAGCTACTACCCTCCCCTCCCTTCTCCAAGCTAGTAGATGAACAGTTGCTGGAGTCTGCACTGTACTTTTTTGATCTTGTAGTGGACAGGATGTTCAGGGAAGCAGAGCTGAGAGACCTGGAAGCAGCTGTTTAGAAACATGATGACTAAGTGTTTGGGCAAAAATGTAAAGCAATGCTTTGCTGGGCAATGTATATTTGTTTGATCTAGATTCATTATTGAAAAAAGTTTGAGAGTTTAATGCTACTTTAACTTGGGTGGAAAAAAACGCTAGCATTTTATCTAAACGGGTCCTCTTGCTAGTTTATTCAGGGCCAGCAGAGCTTCCTTCCCTGAACACTGGTATATAGCTCAGTTCAAATGGAACACTGGCATACAGAGACTCTTGTATTTCCTTACCAATCCCTAGTCCTTTACCATGCAAGGCAGTCTCTTCTTGAAAATTGTTTTCTGAAAAAATTGGATTTTATGTAATCCTTTTCATTGAGCCCATTAAGGGACAAAGGAAGTATTTTTCTTCTGCAACCCGCAGGAGTATTGGACACTGGCAAACAACAAAAATGTAGGCCAGCCCGGATAATCCCTCATGCTACTAGCATATCAGTTATGTAGCAAGCATGATCATAAACACCTAGGGATGGGTCCTGTGTCCTTCAGTGGACTTCAAGAAATGTATCCTACTGGTAAGTACAAAAATCCTATTTTCTTTCTTGTCCGTTAGAGAGACACAGGAATTATTTCATCTTTAGAACATACAAAAAGCAGTCATATTGAAGGCTGGGCAACAGAAAACAACTGCTAACAGGCCCAACACGAACAAGGTGAAAGCTAGGGACTGCTGCCTGCAGCTCAAGAGCTGCCTAAAAGATGATGCACCCAAAGCTGGCACCAGATGAGGCTGCAACCCCCACCTTGTAACAAGAACTGAAAAAAAAAGATCAGGAAGTAACTTTGCATGGGTTGCCAATGCCTGATGGCAACAAAATACAAGGACTCACATGAAATAATACATAAATGATAAGGAATGTCTGATAGTGGAGGAAGATCCATAATGCCTAATCCAACCAAAAGGGTGTAATGGAAACTGATTCCTAACTGGGACCAACCAGAGAGACCACTGGAAGTTGATACTGAGAAGGAAAAGAGCTAGGCGTAGGGACCCAAGTACGATGTCCTCATAGAGGAAGTTCAGAGCCACCCTAAGCTATAAGAAGGCCCTAGGCCTAAACTCACCTCATCACAATATATCACAATATAAGTCCAAGAGAAATAGGGTTCCACGCGTGTAATGGCTGTCAGGACAGATATTCACCCTGTCAAGGCAATATTACCTCCAAGGAGTGCAGTGGCGAAACCCACAGAGCCAGGATTGCTGAATAAGTTAAGGTACATGGGAACAGCCCATACAAGGACTAATCAGGGGATAGAAGGTAGACCTCTTCACCAAATTATTGCAAAGAAGAATTCAGTCGGAGGAGTAAGCTCAACTCCCACCTATCTGCAAGGAAGAAAAACACCCCTAGGACTAAGCCCTAAAGGAAATCTTGCTGGAATATCCTGCTAAACCTTCAGCCTCAAAGAGTTGCAGGTTTAGACATGCTCCTCACACCCCCGATCCAGTAAAGGGTCAGAGTCCATGGAGCAGCAGTCAGAAGCCTTAACAGGTCGGCGAAAAACATTCGCCTGAGAAAAACTATAGCAATGAAGATTACCAGAAAGTCTTTCCTCTCGAGTCTGTGAAGCAAAAGAGGAGAAAAGACCTGGTTGTTTAGATCTGGGTGTGTAGATTCAATTAAGTTATCATCCATCCCTGCTGGGGATAGCTGCACCAGAAAATGAACCAGCTCAGCATGCAGATGACCCAGGGTTTAATGGAGGCCCCCATTCAATGTCCTCCACCTGCAATGCAGTTCTTAGAATGCACCAAGGTGTATGAACCAATACCCCATATCCAGGACCGACCAGTTAGGGAGATTAGACCTCCTGAAGATCGGACTTGAGATGAGCACAGTGGACAGCACTAGAACACAAGATTTTGTCTAAATTAGGATCCAAACTACCTCCCTGGTCACAGCAAGGTTTCCTGTTCTGCCTTGATGGTAAAGGCATACTAGCACCACGACGTTGTCCATCCAGCTCCATATCAGGAGACTTGCCCATGAGATGATCTTGTGATGTAGGAGGAACTACATTTTCTGTAACTCCAGGATGTAGACTGGAGGAAAGAAATTCTCTGATGACAGGATCCTCTTGATGGTAATAAAAGACTTCTCCAACCCCAGAACTGTAAGAACCGGCCAGGAACTACCCGCTCCTCAGAGGCAGACAATTTAGTCTGCTCAGAAATTTGGCCAACTTGATCTACAATAGAAGATGGAGCAACTGAGACAGTCTGAGAAGAGATTATAGAAATGTTGGTGCCTCGAAGAGGGTTGCCCATCAACACATGACTCTCTCGCAAGACGAGTAAGGGACTAAAACATGAGTGCAAGTACCCTGTGGATTCTTCTGCCAAAGTAACATTCAAGTTCAGACTGCCTGCAGGTGATGGAAAAACTTCCAGCACTGATTTTTATCAATACAGGCTCCAGCTGAATCGAGGAAACATCGAGACAATCGGTGAGACGTTCAATAGGGCCCACATCGACTGCATTCTCCACAGGGGGTCATCTAAGTGTTCCACAATGGGGGTGCCATCAGCAGGCACTAGGGCAGACACGAGAGAATTTGGGTTGCAGGATGGTGAGCTATTGGTATGTGTCCTAGCTGACCAAATGGGTCAGAGAGTACCTCGAGATGATAGATTTGTCAGATATCATGCAACATATTTGGACTCCGATCCCAAAAGAGGCAGATGTTTTCTCTAAGAGAGAAAACAGTGACCAGGTAGGGATACAGATCCTAAGACCGAGATGGCACAGGAGCTGAAACAATGACCTTGTGGTCCAGAAGAGCTGAGGTAGGTCTGCTAATCTTTGCAGGGACACTGAAAGATTGAAGGTGAGGAAGTTAAGAGAGCACTAGGGCGAAGGTTCAGTCAGGTACAGATTGTGGATATTCAGGACTAACTACCTGAAGGGCAAACTACTCTAGATTCCGCAAAAGATGTACAAGTGTCCCTCCACTTAGGAAAGCGGGGTTGCGACTTCATGCTGCTGAAGGCTTCTCTGAGGGTTTAGTGGGCTACTTACCCCAGATCTTGTGTGCAGCCAGAGAACCAAGTTTGTAAGGCCCCTCATGTTTACATTGGGAGTAGAGGGAGGAGACTTAGCAGACCTTTCGCTAGACCTCTTACACTTAGGCAGGTGGGCGCTCTTGCCTCTAGTGATAATAATGTGAAGTGTTTGTCCGAAGAGATGTCCCTTGAAAACCAAACCGTTCAGACACTCCTTAAAAGCAGTGTCGCATTCTGCGCATTTGTGTTGAGAAAAGACCCTTGAGGGAGATCAGCCAAGATCTAGTAATGAGGTAGACCCTATGATCATAAGGTAACAGGAATCCAGTCTACAGACATCAGTATCTTCGAAAGACACAGAACAGAAATCCCTGAAACAGAGTGTGAGCTGGGGTCACCTGTTACAGCAAGGCCTCAGGAATTTATAAGACCCAGACAGCTTGTAGTTGTTCAAGGTTAGATGGCCAGATGTGCACAAAGTCACTGTAGTTGGATAGTAGTCCTTTGACATATACCACTTCCATGGTGTAGGAACCAGTGGAAAATTGACCTTTTGCAGGTAACTGATACCAGAATGGGGTCTGGAAAGGACCTCACACAAAAATCTAAGGTCACTTCCGGGCAAGCCCTACAATGTCCAGTCCTGCTGTGTCCTATAATAGCACTACAAAGCCAGGCTGAGGATAGGTTGCAATGGATAGCTGCTATTGTAAAAACAGCTCTAGCAGAGATGTAGAGAAGAATCTTGATTGAAGAGAAAAATGAAGAAAAGAAGCAGAGCTGAGGAAAAGTCATCCTTATAGGACACTACCAAAAAACTGAGGCATGCTAAGTAGTAAAAGGGGTTATCCTGGATTGACCTACAGTTTTTCTTTTTTTGTTTGCCAGTGTCCCATCCTCCTGTAGGCAATATAACCTGAAGGTGAAAGACTTCCTATGCCCTTAAGTGGACAATAAAGAAAGTTTTTTTTCACCCTCATGTCTAAGTGTACTGACTATGGTATATGGCAGGTAAAACTCTTCTTTGGTTTCAGGTGCAATTAGTTTTATTAGTACTATTATCTGCAGGAATACGTTCCTATCATATTTTATTCTGAATTGTGTTTGTCATCTTACATTGCATTTCTGTCTATCAAACTGAAACATAGATTTAGCATATACTAAACTTCTTTCAAAACAATCTCTAGTGAAGCATCTTAGACTACTTTCTTTTGTATATTTTATGTAAGGTATAACCAGATAAACATGCTTGTCTTCTCCTAATTCTCATGTCACCTACCTGCCATAAATCATCTCAGATTATCTATTTCATATGTAGTCATCTATGAGTGACTGTTCCCAAGTATGTCCCATTTTATTCCTTCCTTCAAAAAGATGTCTGTTATTAGCAATACAGTATATACTAAAATCAATGAATATGTAAAAAAAATAAGGTATACTAATAGGATTCTAAATTCTAATCTAAATAAAGGGTTCCACAGTGTTAGAACAGTATGAACAGAAAAAGCTCCATATAAGAAGCTTAGAGAAATGAGAAGTGACTACTCCACTAGTATCCAGTTTTTCTTTGGGGGTTTTTTTTTAAATCTCATAATGGATATACTTCTTTATGAGCTTGTGCCCAGGTTACCATAACATGGATGATCTAGTAATCATGGTTTCTAGGCGGCGATCACTGTAACAGGACAGTAATCCCCTAACGAGCAATTATATCTGATAATCAGAGAACTGAAAAATTAGTCACATGCAGAAATGTTACCTCAACCAGGGCTTTTGTAGGTGCTTGTGCCTTGGTTATGTCCCTTATCTGTTCTAATCAAATATATTCAGAATAAATGAAAAGTACATTTAAACCAAATACTAAGATAATCCTAAAAATCGAATACAGTACTTTACTGGCACAAAGACAGCCAGCTGGAAAATGGATGAGCTCCTTGGTGGTCCTTTCACATTTATCTCTAGCTCCAGACTACTGGAACACTATAATGTGTGTGTATGTATGTGTGTGTGTGTGTATGTATGTATGTATGTATATATATATATATATATATA